GAACCCCCTGTGGGTGAAAAATTACCAATCAAAATTCGGCCGGGGGGGGGGGGGGGGGCGTACTCATTTGTTGCTTGCCGTAGTCATTTGACCATTGACCACGCTTCCCTTTCGAGACGGAGCACCGTTCCTACACCTACTAGAGACACCACCAACATTTGGGAGCTCTTTACGTTTCTGCCACAAACTCCATAAAAATTTCTTGCACATCTTATCCCCGTCCTCTAGGGCCTCTTGTGCCCACCATCTATCCCCAATTATCGCGATCGTTTTTTCGCTGTTGTCTAATTTACCAAACTTGTCCATGGGGGGGGGGTGTACTCATAGTTTTGCATGCCGTTATCGTTAGACCATTGACCTCGCATCCCTACAAGACCGGGACGGAGCACGCCGGGTTCTCACCGGACCAGGCTCTCACATCGCCAAGCGCGAAGCGCCGTGAGGTATTCGGCGAGTCGCATGAAGGGTGCGCTGCATCCTGCTAAGGGTGTTCGGGGGGGGGGGGGGGGGGGGGCCCCTTTTTTGGGTTTTGTAGGGGGGGACCGGGAATTTTCCCCAAAAAAAAAAGGGTTTACCCACCCACCCCGGTAAAAAACCCCGGGGGGGGGGTTTTTTGGGAAAAACCTTCGGGAAAAACCAGGGGGGCCCCAAAAAACCAAATTTCCAGGGGGGGGTGGGGTGAAATGGGAACCAAAAAGGGGTAACCCCGGAACCCCACACCAAAAAACGGGTTGCGGAACGGGGGGAAAAAAAAAAAAAATTGGCAATATTTCCCCCAAAAAACGTGAAAAAAAGGGGGCCTCCTGGGGGGGGGGCGCCAACCCTTTTCCTTTTTCCCCCCCCCCCCCCCCCCCCCCCCCCGTGGTGCTTGTTGTTTAATACCCTCCTTTGGGAGAAGCAAGCGACTTTTTTTTTTTTCCCCCCGACAAAAAACAAACAACAAAAAAAGCCCCCCCTGGGGAAAAAAAAAAGGGCAGTTTTTTTCCCTTTTTTTTTCTTTTTTTTTCCAGCGCTCCCAGCACGTGTTCCCTTTTCTCCACCCCGGGCCACATAAAAGGGTTCTTCCCCCTGGGGTCCGCCACCCCCCCCCCTCTTCGCTTCCCCCCCTTTTTTCTGCCTATAATCCGGAGAGCGGCTTAGGCCTCCACCATGACACCCCCTCATGGGGTCCCAGACCATGGCCTTTACAAGCATTTCCTGCTTCCAGCCCCACCGAAATTGGCGTCTTTTCATTCGTCAGCCGGCTACCGCGGTCGATGCTATTACAATATTACAATGATAACACGCACACCTGCAGAGAAAGGGGAGGGAGGGGGGGGGGAGAGAAAGAGAGAGAGAGAGAGAGAGACAGACAGACAGAGATAAACTCCTGCGTGCTCCGTACCTCGTCGTAGCCGAAGAGAAACATCCTTGGCGTCTGGTGGTGCTTGTCGTAGGTGATGCTGAGGTCGTAGCTTCTGGTGGGAAGTATGGGGTCATCCGGCTCCTGCGCCGTTAGGTAAGACACGCCTCCCGCCTGCACGGTAGCCTTAAGGGGTACAGCACAGTACAGGGGTGGGACGCAAAACACACATAACAGCACGCGCGCAACGGTGGTCGTGACTTTGCCCTCCCTCCCTCTCTCTCTCTCTCTCTCTGGCAGTCAATTATTCACGCCTGTTTGTGTGTCTCGACTGGTGACCAACCGTACACGCCTGTGTGCGCGTCTCTCGTGCGTCGGCAGCCAATACCCCTGCCTG